TTGATGGCATAAAATATTTTAAAACATTGACAACTGGATTGTGAGATCATATGAACTCACATACATTACAGACGCTGGTAAAATGTTCATTAACAAAGCCATATATGATCACATTAGGTTTTTTAACGAAGTCTTGCAGTAGTGACGGATATGATACGGATCATTTGACGTTAGATCATCACTTCTTTCACCAGTACGTCCGTACGTCATTCCTGGTCAGGACACACGCCGTCCCAGTGTACACACACAAGCCGCACACACTAAGGACACACGTCAACCGCAACTGAGGACCACCTCCATCCACATAAAGGACACTCACCATAAACATTAAGGACACACACTCAGTTACACACACGCTCATTGACACACACGCACAGTTAAACACACGTACAGCTACATACTGTTACACACACGTACAGTTACACACTGTTACACACACGCTCAGCTTCACACACGTAGTTACACTCGTGCACAGTAACACACCAACAATTACACACACGCACAGTTACACACACGTGCAGTGACACACACGTGCAGTGACACACACGTGTAAATTATAAAAATAACTAGTAATTAATTGATATCAAAAGGTAATGCCAGACATACATTGAATTGTGACAATTTTAGGTGATTGCAGGTATACATTGAATTATGACAGTAATAAAGGTGATGGTAGACATGCATTGAGTTGTGACAATTCTAAAGGTGATAGCAGACATACATTGAATTGTGACAATTTTAGGTGATTGCAGGTTTTCATAGAATTATGACAGTAATAAAGGTGATGGCAGACACACATTGAATTGTGAAAATTCTTAAGGTGATGGCAGATATGCATTGAATTGTGACAATTCTAAAGGTGATGGCAGACACACTTTGAATTGTGACGATTCTAAAGGTGATGGCAGACATCCATTGAATTGTGACAATTCTAAAGGTAATGGCAGACATGTATTGAGTTATCACGATGCTTATATTTATATACAAAGAAAATTAATTTTGGAAAACATTTGATTTTTTTTAGCATTGAATATTGCACGATTATCTCCCCAGCCAATTGAGCTAGCATTGAATATTGCACGAATATCTCCCCAGCCAATTGAGCTAGCATTGAATATTGCACGAATATCTCCCCAGCCAATTTAGCTAGCATTGAATATTGCACGAATATCTCCCCAGCCAAGTTAGCTCATTAATTTATTTTACATTTCCTTAACGACTCCATGAACATATATTCATGAACAAACACACACACACACACACACACACACACACACACACACACATATGCAGGTCATGTCCTTCCTTTGAAGTTTTAAAGACTTTTCTGCAAGGGTAAGTGCAAAGTCTTGGGCAGGGGGGGACCAGATAAAAAAAGCCAAGATAAAAGAAGGCATGAAACAACCGTAACACTAGAATAACTGTTGTAACAGTAACACTCTCGTGGTAGCCAACAGGGTGGCCTGACACTGCTGTAACACTAGGATAACTGTTGTAACAGTAACACTCACGTGGTAGCCTACAAGATGGCCATTTAACAAAAGATAGCAATTGCATCAACAGAAAGAAAGCGAATGGTCATAGAAATGATAGCTGGTGTAACAAAAAGAGAGCGAATGGTCATAGAAATGATAGCTGGTGTAACAAAAATAGAGCGAATGGTCATAGAAATGATAGCTGGTGTAACAAAAAGAAAGCGAATGGTCATAGAAATGATAGCTGGTGTAACAAAAATAGAGCGAATGGTCATAGAAATGATAGCTGGTGTAACAAAAGGATAGTGCAGTAGAAACGAACGTTATTTGTAACAAAAAGAAAGTTTTATTGAAACCGAAATTTTAGTGGTAATATATTTTTTTTCCTCCAAATTTCCTTTACAACTTGTCCTTAAGTTTTCGTAATCAAATGCTTATAGTTGGGCGTGACGGAGCACTACAGATCCAATATTTGGTACACAAATTAAGTTATTTTTTTATCCTTTAGTTCGCATAGTGTAAATACTTGAGATAACATTTTAAATCGCAAAATTAGCAGGCCATTTACATTTAAGCGATACAAAATAAGTTAAGTTGCCATTACGAAACAATTTTGAAATAGAAATTTAACTTCGATACCTTTGGGCCAAGCTTGTATATATCGATACCTTGGGGCCAAGCGTGTATATATCGATACCTTGGGTAGAACCTTGTATATATCGATACCTTGGGGCCAAGTTTGTAGATAATCTACAATCTTTCTACAGCCGTTTTACAGAATGTAAAAACAATTATGATTTCTACAAATTAACTTTCTATTTTAATAGAATTGGCTTTTAGAAACTCGCTTTAATGTCATGTGTTTTTTGTAATAAGGTGAGATTATTTTGTTTAATCCTCTGTTCATTCCGTGAATAGTTATTCCTATGTAATTACATTTTTTGCATGAATAATGAAAATCTTCTTTTTCAAAAGGCAATTAGTTTTGAGCACCCAGACTCAATATATACACAATATATAGCTAGAAATAGATTCAGTATACTAGAAATATCCTCCAAGTACTAGAAATAGACTGCATGTGTTAGAAATAGACTTCATGTGTTAGAAATAGACTTCATGTACTAGAAAAAGACTTCATGTATTAGAAATAGAGTTCATGTACTAGAAACATACTTCCTGTATTAGAAATAGACTTATTGTACTATAAATATTCTCAGTGTATTAGATATAGACTCCATGTACTAGATATAGACTTCATGTACTAGAAATAGACTCCATGTATTAGAAATAGAGTCTGTATACTAGAAATAGCCTTCGTGCGTTATATTTCAGAATTATGAGATGCAGACTGGGTGGCCGAATGGTCTAAACTAAGCAAACCTCAAATGGTGGTCGGGAGTTCAATTCCAGCCAAAAACATCACCCCAGGTGGATGAGACTCGTTAACCTTGGTCGGCATTCAGCAACTCATATAAGAGAAGGGAACTCTGAATTCACACCCGGAAGTGGAGTCCCGTAAGGCGCATACAATGACAATTCCTGCAACCGTACCCATCCCTGGTCGTCTTGACGTAGAGTCTTGCCACTGGATCTGGTGGGCCCGGACGAGAGAGTGAGGTTGACGCCGCGCAACCCTTCCTCACTTTAAACAAAAGTCACCCGCTCGACTAACTCCTAGTCAATCTTCGACGAACGAACAACACCATGAAATGCAGAATCCAAAGCCTTAGAAGTGAAAGCTGACATACCAAACCCTCGTGTGTGTCAGGCTTTGTGTCAGGCTTTGTGTCAGGCTTTGTGTCAGGCTTTGTGTCAGGGTTGAACGACTCACTTTCACTTTGGCTGGCTGGCCTCTTGTTCCATCTGAACATATGACACATAGAGCAACAGACATGACACATAGAGCAATAGACATAACACATAGAGCAATAGACAGATTTCCCTAAAGTATTCAAGTCAAAGATG